CAATAGTTTTCAAACTTATTCTGGAGGAAAGAAACATAAAAATTGTGATTTTTTTTTTGCCCCGTATCTTTAAATACATACATATATGTCTATAACGTAATTAATTTACCCCAAAAAAGTATTTGAACACCTATTACATGCCTAAGCAGTACATTTATGATCTGGTTTGATGTGACATTTATTTAGAGTACAACTCATAGTGACCCTATGAACAATGGATCTGAACCTTACATTATCCTGTACTATCCATATAATCTCTGATACCCTTGAGCCCATTGTGACAGTTACTGTGTCAATCCATCTCCTTAAGGGTCTTCCTCTCTTTCTCTGACTGTCCAGCTTTCCAAACATGACGTCCCTCTCCAAGAAGTAGCACTTATAAAAACATCTAAAATATGTGAGATGAAGTTTCACCCTCACCTCTAAGGAGCACCTTGGCTGCACATTCTTCAAAACATATTTGTTTATTCTCTTGGCAGTCCATGAGATAAGGTGTGGATCCTTCTTTAGTCATTGTTCAACATTTGGATGTATAACAAGTAACTGAAAAGACCAAAGCTTGAATCAGATGCACCTGTGTCTTTAAACTAAAAACATTTCTCTGTAACACCTTAGAAATTTGTTGTCCTTGACAACAGATTTATCCAATGCAATGCATCTTTTGATTTATTGATTGCTGGTGCCAAAGATGTTGATTTTGAATCCAAGCAAAATGAAATTTTTGACAGCTTCAGTGTTAACTCCATCTATCATGATGTTGTCTATTGGTTCAGTAGTGAAGATTTTTGTGTTCTTGATGTAGAGATGTAATCCATATGGGAAGTTGTAGTGTTTGATTTTTTTGCAGCAAGCATTTTGAGTCCTTCTCACTTTCAGCAAGCAAGGTTGTTTTCATCTTCATAAAGAAGATCATTGAATTTTTGTCCAATATGATGCCACGTTCTTTTTCATAAAGTCCCATCTTTCAAATTATTTGCTGGACATGTAGATTGAATAGGTATGGAGGAAGACTAGTGAGCACATACAGAGCTGAATCTATCTCTTGAAATGTGTCAACCGATACTACATAAATTTCTGGGGCTTTATAATTTGCTAACACTTTCAAAGCAGCTTGAATTTTTCCCTTCGTTGTCATTGGATCTTAACCATATGTTAATTCTTGAAATGGGTTTGTGTCAGTCAATTCTTCTTGTTATAGTGACTCTGTATTTCCTTTATCTTCTTTTGATGCTTTCTGGGTCACTCAAGATTTTGCATATAGTATGTAATTCAGTACTGCAACTCAAGTCTTGACTTTGTTTTTTACTTCACTCAGCTTGGGAAATATTGAATAATTTCTTCCCCTTTGATTTTCTAAATCTTGCTCTTTACATATTTTATTATTATAATTTGCTTTGCATACTCAAAATGTTCTGATTCCTCTCTTTTACTTTAGCATTTTCCCCTTGTTTTGATTTCTTGATGCTCTTGTGAAATTTTCAGTTTCTTCTAACATCCATTTTTGATCTTTTCTTTCTTCTGCCTTTGCAATGATCGTTTGCTTTCTCCATGGATAATATTCTTGATGTTAATCTACAACTTATCTGGTGATCAACTCTCAAACCTATTCCTTTTTTTTAAACCTATTTTGATAAATCAGGTTTTCAAATTCTTATAGATTCAAGGAAATAATTTGGTTTTTGTGGACTTGTCTTCATTTTCTTCAGCTCAATTTAAACTTGCATGAGTACTTGGTGGTCTGCTTCACATAGATTTAGCACCTTGCATGGTTTAAACTGCTGATATTCAGATTCTCTAATGATTCTGATTCTTTTGACTACTAATATTGAGCTCCTCTGACAATTCCACAGATAACAGTCAATCTGATTTTCATTGGTTTTGACTGCTGATACTAAACTTCTCCAATAATTCCACCAATGTAGTCAATCTGATTCCTGTGAAATCAATAAGCTAAGGTCCAAGTGGATAGTTGCCATCTGTAGTTTTTTAAAAAAGGTATTTGGAACAAATAAGTCATTGGTTATGCAGAATCCATCTTCATTTCTGTGACCAAGAGCATAATTTCCAACTGAGAGTCCTCTTTCTTTGATTCAAAACTTGCATTCTAATTAGCAATTATTATAAAGGTATCTTGATAACATGTTCAGTCAGTTTCACACTGCAAAATTGGTTGAAATCCTCATTATGTTTATCTTTGGCTTTAATTATTGGTGTGTAAATCTGAGTAAAACTTACAGGAGCACGTCTTCCTTGTATGTTTATGGATAGCATCTTCCCACTCACAACATTGTACCTTGGGATAGATCTTGAAATAATCTTTTCCACTATGAATACACCACCATTCTTCCTCAAAGAAACTCAGGTGGGCATTGTTACTCTGCCAGTATATATCTCTCTGTATGCATATGTGTGTGTGTGTGTGTGTGTGTGTTTTTGTTGATAATTTTATTATGCATCTTTAAATAGCAAGTATGTTAGTTAATTACATGTCAGTTTTTAATCTAAGTAAAGAAGGGATATACTTGAAGTAGTAGGATATAGACCCCACTCTTGCCTTTGTAGTTTGTGTGCTTATAATAGGAATATATTCCATTCTGTATTTTGAGAGGTAACTTCTTTGCCAAATAAAAATTGGCCCTCAGGCTTAGAAATCAAGAACACATAGTCTAGCTAATTTTTTTAAACATAAAAATTTTAAACTGGTTTACTTACAAAGTTTGTATATATTATTTTTCACTCTGGATCTTTCTCATTTCCTTTACCCACTCCTTGCTCTACCTACCAATTTGTGTGACCCTATGAATACCCTTCTGCTTCTACCCTTCCCCTCCTTGGATCCTCATACACATTTTACCAGTTATCTATTTCTACAAAAATGGTTGCAGTATTTGTCTTTATGGGACTGAGTTTAGTCACTTGGTCAGCATAATCATAATGATCTCTAGTCCCTCCCAATGTAGGTAATGATTTTCAAAATCATTCTACCATGTGAATGTACCATAATTTCTCAAAGCATTTGATTATGGTTTGACAAATCCTGTGTGACCCAGCTATTCCACTGCTTGGAATATACCCTGAGAAAATTAGAACTGAAACAAAAATGGAGATTTGTACCAATGTTCTTAACGGAGTTACCCACCATCACAAAAACATGGAAACAGTCTAGTTACTTTAGCACTTGAGGAGTGTAGAAAGAATCTAAGATGGCAAAGATGTTTTTGCTCCTGTTGAAAGTTTATAATCTATTAGGGAAAATAGGCAAATATTTAAAAACTAGTTTCTGACTGCAAAATGTGTGCAGGGCTACAACACAGCAAGCCTTATCTTGTTCATCACTGTGTCCTTTTTTATCCCTGCACAGGCCCCAGCAAGTAGACAGTTCTATAGGAGAAGTCAGGTTGTTATGTACTGTTGAGTCAGACATGACGCAGAGCTGACCTTCAGGGAGCAGAAGGAGGGTGTGTTGCACAGGCAGTAAACCACGGGGGAGGCGAATGACCATTTTACTCATCCAGAGTTGCTGGTGGATTCAAACCAAGGGCCTTTTAGTTGGCAGCACAACTCCTTACCAATAAGTTCAGCAGAGCTTCACCTTCTATAGGAGAAAGGAGTCCCAAATACCAACAACACCTGGACAAGTCAAAGAAGATCTCACAGCCAAGGTGGTATTTAAGGAGCAACATTGTAGTTAAGTGCCCTGGAGCCAACTATGACTGCCAGCAACCTTAAGAATAACAGATCTAAGATTTCTTCCCCTATCCAGCTCCATCCTCAGATTCCTGCCATGTTTAAGAACACCATCATTACACTGTGTCAATCATCTGCTTGAGTGTCATCTTCTATTTGTATAATCCCTCTACCTTTCTTAGTGGCTTAGTGGTAAGGAATTGTGCTGCCAAGGCAAATGTACACAGTTCTAATCCAACAGCTGCTCCAGGGGAGAAAGATGAGCAGACAATCTCTTTCTGTGTTTAAGATTTAATGCCTCTGAAAACCCGCTGGAGGGGGTCACTGTAAGGTAAACAACAACAGCTATCTTTTTCAGTATGATTCCCTCGTCCCTCCGCCCCCCAATGTATCCCTCCTGGTAACATGCCCAAAGTTCACCACCCTTGCCTCTAAGAAGCATTTTGGAAAGTATCTACCTAATAGTTGGCAATGAGAGTAGGACACTGGAACTGGATCAAGAAATCAACAATTCTCCCCATTCTGTTCCCTTTTACTCATGTGCATTATTTCCCCTTCCTGAACCCACTGCTTTCATCTGTAAAAGGAGAAAGGGTTGAGCAACAAATATAAGAGCTTCCCCTCCCACCTTCTTGTGTAACTAAATTCTATATGTGGGGGGAGGGGTGGTATGTGTGTGGGCAGGGATTAAAGTAAAATAACTGCAAATGTGCACGAAAGGGGAATTCTCTGTGCAAAGTGCAAACACAGGAGGCAAAACAAAGCTAGTGAAAGTTTTCCGAAACCAGTAACTCTGGTGTTTGGAGGCGGGAAGTTCAATTTTTCAGAAAAGCAAAGGAACAGAATTAAAGCATAACACTCAGGAAAAAGACAACTGAATTTGGGAAGAGGAAAGGGAGAGGACGAAGAAGAGTCATGCAGAGTACGTCTCCCCTGCCCCGCCCCACCCCCTCCTTCCTCTACTTTTCTTCCTCTTTCCCTTCCTGCCTTTAGCACGTTACTTGCTGAGAAGCAAAATATTAGTAGACTATCTGCGGCTCTAAACTTTTCTTGCAGTTGCCCAGAGCCTTTTGGTAATACAAACTTCTCCCTAAACTTAGTGTCCAGCCTGGGCAGGGAGAGGGGCTCCCCACCTGACTGGCTCAGCGCCTGCCCCAACGCCCACCCACCGCGTGGCTCCGCCCTGCCGCGGGTTCCTCAGCGCCTTGGACCTCTTGCAGGCTCACCCTCTGTGTGGCCACCTCTCTTAAAGCTGTGTGCGCTCGCTCGACTTCCTTGCACCTTCCTCCCAGCCTCCCCAGGCTTCTGCCAGCATGGGTGCGTGGCACCGCTCTCTGCCGGGCGCCCTCCTGCTGTTCCTGGGCAGCCTGGCCACCACCGTGCTCTGTGACACACCGGCCAACTGCACTTACGCTGATCTGCTGGGCACCTGGGTCTTTGAAGTGGGTCCCAGCACTTCTAAACAGGACGTCAACTGCTCCATTATGGGTAAGCACCTTTTCCTCCTCTTCCTCTCAGAACCCTGCCTTTCCTGCACTACCCCACCTGGGAACCCTTTGGAACCCTGGAGCACTTGCGACCAAACCCCCAGGGGAGACCAGGACACACGCTGCCAGCCCAGCCGGCCCAGCGCAGAGCACTCAGCGTGCCTGCTTCCATCTGAGCCCCAAGTGAGAGTTAGTTGCTGAGAACTTCTGATTTCACGTTTTCTTGGTTACCGAAGTCACCCACCCTTTTCTCAAGAAGAGTCGCTCCCTCCCCCAAGTTTTATATTTTATTGTTTGCTGTTGTTTGGAAGAGAGTTGAGATCTACTATTTTTAAATTCCCAGTGCTTTTTCCCTTTTTTATTTTTTTAATTGTGCTGATCCGTTCAATCATATGAGAAGATTTGGCAAAAGTGTTTTAGGACTTTGTTTTTCAATCGGTTTTTGTTTTTTTTATTTTTGGGTTTTTTTTTTCTCTCTTTTTGTTAAGACTGTGGTTTACCCACAATGATTTTCTTTGGCCTTTTATTGATGTTACTAGTCTTGGAAAACTTGTGGCAGCACTCTGCACATTTTCATTCATTAATCCGAAAAAAAGCACTGGGTGCAAGTGGATTCCAGCTGGTAGCAAACATACATCAGGGTCCCAGATCTGTGAGTCCTTACTGGAGGAGGCTGCCCCATTTCTCTTATTCGGTCCTCTGGCCAATTGGAACCACAGACCCTTCTTTAAGCAGGCAGATAGCACTATACCAATTCACAGAGAAATATATAAAAAGCTTTTTTTAAACAAAAGAAAACCAACAAAACCAACAACACAAATCATATCTCTAAATATAATTGATTATATTTAGAAATGCCCAGAGCCAAATGTAATGGTAGGTTTATGGAAGCCTGTTAATAAAAATGTAATATTTGAACACACTGGAATAACCCATATGTACTCAAGTCCCATGACTACAGCAAAGTCAGAGAAGCTAAGATTGGTGGAAAAAAACCAAAAAGCCAAAGGTCAGGAGAGGCACATTTCTTTCTTTCTTTTTTTTTTCCTGAGCAAACCCTTATCAGCCAGTATGCAAAATGAGAGAAGCACTATCTTGTGAGTGGAATGAAGATTGCCATTTGTTTAAAAAAGAAAAAAAAATCTATTAAGCTGTGTGTAACACCAGATGATTATAAGACATTTCACACTGCTCACGAGTTTAACCTTTTTTCTTTTTTTTCTTAGAATTTAATCTGGATAGGGGGGGCAGAAGGGAAATTAGGATTCGCACGGTCCTGTTATATGCAGTTTTCCATTTCAGAGCATTCATCTGAAAGGTGAAAAACATGTCCATAGTGTGGAAGCCTTCAGAGGGTCACAGAAGAACCCATTTCAGGCAGCATCTGTTAATAAACCGTATTTTTGATTGACCTTAACACAGCAATCAAGCACACCAAACCAACAGAACTGAATTCTAATCTTCTGAAGGTTGAAAGTTCAATTCCTGTTAAAACACTTATTTTTAGAAGCTAAACATCAAGACCAATCTGTTGGAAAGATTTGATTCTGAGATTGTGGACTGTAGGTCTTTTCTCTAAAGAGCTCATTTCCTGCCTTTTCCTGGTCCTAACATTTTGTCCTCCTGATGATCTGAGTACTTCATCTCTTTGTCACTTCCTTTATTTTCATATTTCTTCTAACATTTTGCTTCCTTCCCTGTGCATTATCTGCTTTTTCAGTAGCTCCTGTTTCTTGACTTCCAAGGCATGCTTTCTTTAGTATTTGGATGCTTTGGGAAGGAGCTATATTTTTTAAAGTTTACCTCTGTGTTCAGCCACATGGCATCCTTCTGGTGGCAAATTCACTAGGCAATTGTGCTGCTAATCCAGCAACTCCATGTGAGCTACACCTTTAGGCAGCCAGTTCAATGATTTACAGTGTCTGAAACCCACCAGAGGTGAGAGATGAGAAGGTACTGAGGTGATGGCAGTAGTAAGTGACTGAACTCTATTGGCTTGCTTTTAACCTCTCTCAGACTATATAGAGAGAGGCAACAGAGATGGAGATTGATTTCTCCACAGACCAGTCTCTGAGCTCAAATTGAGTCATATGAAAGAAAAGCAGCTTAGTCAAATAATGAATGTTATTGAGGAGCTTTTTCTCGCCATTGAAATTCAAGTACCCAATTTTACCTTTTTTTTAGGAACACCAGAAAAAAAAGTAGTGGTGCATCTCAAGAAAATGGATTCAGCCTATGATGAACATGACAACTCTGGATTTTTCACCTTAGTTTACAACCAAGGCTTTGAAATTGTGCTGAATGACTACAAGTGGTTTGCCTTTTTTAAGGTCAGTTTTGTGGAAAATACATTTCCAGTGATTTGTTCTCTGAAGCCTCTTGATTAGGAGATCCTCTGAATTTCTCTTTTAAATTGAGAAGATAACCAGAATCCTACCATTCTTCCATGATGAGTTAGATGATATTATTTTACCAGTTTGTTTACCTTTATGATGTCATATATTTGGACATAAGGCTTAAAAACAAACCAAAGAGGACAACCTGGTGTAAAAGTGAATATATATAGTCCATGTATACTTAATATCATATTTTCATAAGTATGATTCAATTCTTAATTTACCTTCACCTTTATTTTTAATGTTTCAGTAGGTACTTGATTTTGTACTGGGTTTGCAAGAAAGATATGGAAAAAGTAGACAATCATTGCCTTTTTGCTAGGAGAGATGGACCTGAGTGATTTACTGAAGTGTTGCAATATTGTTTTGATTGTTGTTGTATGCAGCTGAGTTGGAACCAACTCATAGCTGACACTTCAGCAGGTTTCTTGGTAAGAGATAGCATGACTGAAAAGATAGGTCAGTAAAATAAAGGAAGATGCCCAACAAGGTGGATTGACCTAGTGACTGCAGCCTTGTACTCTAGTTAGAGATGAATAGACACAGGATGACACAAGGTTCAAGTCAGTGTACACAGGGTCACTAGGAGGCCTACTAGACTCAGTGGCACTTAACAACAAATGGCACAAAGGGAGATTCATTGTTTTTGTCCTGCAGAGCAGCTGGTAGATTCAAACCACATGCCTTTGAGATTCCAGCACAGCTTCTTACCACTAGGCCACCAGAGCTCCCTATTGTAGTACACTAAATATATACATATTAATAAATTGTCTGGCTAAAGTAAGACAAAGAAATAGAGAACATTGGGGTTATTGGGGTTATTCTAGGGTGCTAATATAGAATAATAGGGTGACCAAGCTAGTCCAACTTGTTTTCTCTTCTCACTAGGACAAAACTGTTGAACTCTAATCTTTTTATTCTATTTCATACTCACTCTAGCATATAATTGTTTAATACATATTACAGATATTTCTTCTGATCTTGGAACTTTTCCTATAAGGAGATTATTTAATGATTCGAATAAACTAAATCCACAAGTCTGAGAGTAGCTGTTTTTCATAAACACAGACCACAGTGTAAACACACATCATTTCACGGGATAGAGTTTTACAGCCTTTTTAGCATCTAATAAGGGTTGGCCAATTCTAGGGATCTGTGGGAATGTAGACAGTGAGTCTGTTAAAGACCTCAGAAGGCACAGTACCAACAGAGTCTTAATTGTACATTTATTTTTATTTGTAACCAAGATACAACATTAGGTGTATGCCAATGATGTGACCTAGAGTGGCTTGAAGCAGTTTTTTTCTTCTTCTAAATTATAAGGCCCTTTCTTTAATGTCACACATGTGCACACACTCACGCTCTCACACATGACAGAAAGAAAAAGTTGTCTGCTTTCAGCTAGATTGGCTGTTCTGATATTCACTTAGTTCACTGTTATCTGTTGATGGTAAGCTTTGTTTATGAAAATCAGCATGATATCCAATATATGGGCTGTGAAGAAGACTGAATCGGTCCCTACCCTCACATTCATTTCTCAATCATTTCTGACACAGTTGCCCACCCAGCACACTCTGACCCTGCCACCCTACTGAAGGGCTGAGTTAATAGACTGAAAGGACACCATCCTTAAGACTATAAAAAGAGCACAGACATGCTAGCCACAAGTTTAAAAATCCACATGATGACCTCACTTCTTCACTTAATAATTCTTCCTCCTTTGGTGTTGAGAGTTTTTTAGAATGCATTACTGAACTCATGGAAAGTACTCTACTTATGAGCGAAGATTTATCATAGCAGAAGGATACAACCCAAATAGTAATGAGAAAGAGATACTTTAGGGTTTCAAAGAGAACACACCAGAGTGTTTTTGCTGCCCAGGAAACTCTTTGATGCTTTTTGTTCTGGGTTTTTTGGCTAAGCCTACCAGAGAGGCTAAATCATACCACATGAGGCTAATTAATATTTGCCTTCCCAATGAGTCTTTTCTGATCTAACCAGCTCCCACTTAACAGGAAAAATCCTAAAATGTGTCCACAGAGTTATAGGCCAACCCACTCCCATTACGTGATGATTTCTCAAGAATCAAGGTCAAAGGAGGCTTTATTTTGCGTAGATCTAAGTTCTTTATACTATGCCAGCACCCCGTTTGATTAGTCATAGGATTCGTGGTTGCATAATAGTGTCATGTATTGAGCTGCTAACCAAAAGGCCAGTCAGTGTTTAAATCAGCCAATGGGGGAAAGTTGGGAAATGTTCTCCTGTTAAAACGTATGTCCTTGGAAACCTGGTGAAGGGTTACTATGAGTGTGAACTGGTGTGATGACAGTGGGTTGGGTTGGGTTTTATGAATACTAAGTTATTAAATTGGGGAGATCTGGAGGCCCATGGCAAGACGCTGTGCTACAATGCTGAAGACACGGTTTGAGGCCACAAGCCACTCTGCTGGAGAAGGCGGGGCAATTTCCTCCCCTGCGACTGTCTCTGAAAGCCGCTGGAGGGTCAGTTATAGGCCACCGACTCGATGGTACATAGCAATAACTATTTAATATTATTAATATCACCCTTGGATACTCTGTGTATACATGTATATGTTTAATGATAACTATTTTTTTTTTAAGTGTAGTGTGTATTTGGTAGATATTTTCAATCTTGGTCTTCTTTGAATATCCTTTATAGTTAATCTTCCAGAGTTCTTCAAACCGTCTTTGACTTCAGGTTGACAACTACTTGCTTATAGAATTGGGGAGAAAGGAAAAAGATACTCAAGACAACTATTGTCATGATTTTAGTGTCCTACTTTCTATTGCTAACATTATTGCTGTTTTCTCTATATATTCCCATTTATAATCCACGGTCAGAGACCTCGTCAGAGTAATGGAGAGCAATTATATCAGTTTGGAGACTAAGATGTGCTTGATCCAGGCCGTAGTTTTCTTAATTACTTTCTGTACAACAGAAATCTGGACAATGACTAAGAATGATGCCTTTGAGCTATGGTACCAGAGAAGAGTATTGACTGTACCATGGATTGCTAAGAGAACAAACAATCTGCCCTGGAGAGGGTGAAACCAGGCTTGGAGAAAAGAATTCTGAAATTTTGTCTGACACACTTTGGGCATGTTGCAAGAAGGACCAGTCCTTACAGAGGGACATCATGCTTGGAAGGGTGGAAGGCAACATAAGAGAAGAAGACCCTGGATGAGATGGATTGACTTGTTGACTGGGATATTGGGGGCACATGTGTAAGACAGCGAGATTAGCTCAGGATAGAGCACAGTTCAGAGCTGTTATACTTAAGGTTACTATGAGTTGCCATTGACTCAATGGCATATAACAGCAACAGTCATTTATATACTGTTGTTGTTGTTGTTGTTGTTGTTAAGTGCCGTCAAGTTGGAGGTGACTAATATTGACCCTGTGAACGAAAGACCTAGACACCTGTATTACTTTCATCCTCTTTTCTGGTTCATAGGGTTTCTAGAAGCAAGCTATTACGAAAGTGGATGACACTCTTGCTTCCAAGCTTGTTTTAATTGAGGAGCTCCACCAAACACTGTCCACCATGGGTAACCATTCTCACATTTGACACTTTAGTTTCACAGTGTTCAGCATCATAGCAACCACGAGTTACCTCTGTACAGCAAGTGAACATACCAGGGTTATACGACCTAAAAGAATGTTTCACCAAAAACAAGTAAAGGCAGGGCTGAGGGCTGCGGATTAGAGTCACCCACCTTTGACTTGGGAGCATGACTTTCTGTCCACTAGGCCAACTGATCTCTCTCTATGCTTTTGATGTTGTTAATTGCCATCGAGCTGGAGGTGACTCATAGTGACCCTATGAATGAAAGACCTGGACTCCTGTATAACTTTTGTCCTTTCTCCAGGTTCATAGCATTTCCAGAGGCAAGTTATTACAGAAGTGGGTGCCACCACCCCTGCTTCCAAGCTTGTTTTAATTGAGGAGCTCCACCAAACACTGTCCACCATGGGTAACCATTGTCTCATTTGACACATCAGTGTTACAGTGTTCAGCTTCACAGCAACCACAAATTACCTCTGTATAGCAAGTGACATATATTAGATACTGAAAATTATTATTGTTCCTCAAATATATTGACCCCACTTTAACATGTATGGTAGTTTACTAACTGAAAAAATAACATACACACACATGTTGTTGCTGTGTGCTGTTGAGTCAGAACCGACCTATAGCTGTCCCTCCAGCAGGTTTTCAGAGACAATTAATTGCATGAGAGGAGATTGCCCATCCTTTACCAGCAGAGCAGCATGTGTGTGTGTGTATATATATTTATAAATATAATCATATAGTTATATACACATACATATAAGTTGTTTTCCATTATTGAGAACATCGACACACCATAAAAAATGCAAATGATAATTGTTAGGCATTTAGAGGTGAGACCTCATGAGAAAATAGCACTTTTTCTCTGTTTCAGTTAAAAAATAGAATAAAATTATCAGAAGGCATCTACTATTAAGTTTTAAATGTCTTGTTCAAATGATAATATAATCTTCTCAAAGTTGTACCAAAGTAGCAATATTTGACAAGTTTTTGTCCTGTGCACTTACTATATACATGGTTATTCCACAAATAATTTGAATTCTGAATCCCTCTCATTGACTCAGAGGAAACCCTAAGAATTGTTTTCCTTTTGCCTTCTTTACTTCTTAATAATCTTGCTAGAGTTTATTAAGGAGCTGTTCATGCTGGGTATTCTATTAGACTTCTGTTCCACTACTTGAATCTTCTACATTATGCAGTTCAACAAGATAGACACAACTTCTTTCTCATTCTCCCTTTGAAGTTACTGTGAAATAACTTTGAAGTTATTGTGAAGTTCCAAGTGCTTATCACCTAAAGGATAAGTACTTTTCAGAATTTGGGTTTATCTTTGTTTTCTAGT